AACGCATCATTTTTTACTTCTTCCTCAAGTTTTTACGTGTGCTTTGGGATTTCCCGATTGGTGGGAAAAAGGTTTTGATGGAGACTCTAGTACACTAGTAAAGAACTTTGTAGAAATTATCATCAACAGTGTTTTTCTATTTACTAATCTCCCTTAAAAGACGGTTGTGAAATAATTAAAGAGATCATAGTAATGGTAGAAAAAGGTGAGTATGTGCAATTACAAGTTTAACTTCTTAATCATGAAATTACTTTGTGCTTGAAAATATATGCTAATAATTATCGTATTTAAATAGATATATGGCTGCGTAAATGAATAAAGGTCAAGAAACAAAATGGACATAGCTAAACTTTGTAAAATACTTGGGGATAACATCAATGCTTGAAATATTTATTTACGAAAAGCATGAAATTTAGGTTTCCTTAATATATTCGTCCTTCTATTTGTTAGTTTTCTTCCAATGATTTTGAGATTGTATCTTTAAATCTTTTTTTTTTCTTTGCATTTTGAAAAGACAGTAAAAACTAAAAATAACTATAAAAATTTATTGAAGATAATTTAAAAAATAAATGTAGAAGAAAATAAACTAACCCCAAGCGTGTGGTTCAACGGTAGGGGTTGATCCACGCTTAAGCAAAGTCAGGGGTTCGAATCCTGCCTTGTGTATGCAGCCGCGTTAAATCTTGGGACCAGCTATCTTACTCTTTGAAGTGCCTCGAATCCTACCTTGTGTATGCAGCCGCGTTAAATCTTGGGACCAGCTATCTTACTCTTTGAAGTGCCTCCAATGAGGAGATTAGTCACCCTATCGAGTGGATACTCCAGGGACGAACCAAACAAAAAAAAAGAAGAAAACAAACTTAACCAAATTATCGAGCTTGACGCAACTTCACGTCTCTTTCCCAAAAAGTCATTGTGGTTTGCCCCACCCCGTGCCCTAAGTTACGTTACTTTTTCTTTAGTTATATATCCTCTTCAAAAATAAAATAAACATCAAACTTAATCATATTTAATTTTTTTTCATATATCAAAATTAATAATGTTAAGAAAAAAAAAAGGTTTTGAGTTATGCTAATGTAGTATTCTATCTCTATCCCTCAAAGATAGAATTATCCCAACCTTACAACCCCGACTAAAGGACAAAATAAAATTTTATTTTCTTAATCTTTATTAAGTGTGAATACAAGGACAAAATAAAAGTGTACTCTTTATATGAAATAAAGTTAAACTCCTAAAAAGTTTTAAAAAATTCAGAAAAATATTAATCAAATGATTGGAACCTCGTTCAATATTTTAAAATATGATTTTTAATTGATGAAAGATTCAATGAAAAGAAGAAGATCAAAATAAGTTAAAAATAATAAATTAAAAAGTCCAATCAGACCAATATCAATTACTAAATATATTATAATGGATTAGATTTTATTTAGATTATTTATTTAATTTTTGGGCTTAAAAATTATTTAAACATTTTTTTTTATTACATAGATTAGATGGTTTTCTATCTCTCTTAGGCTGCTTAGTGAAAAATAAATGATAGTAGGACTTAAATATCTAGTAGAAACTTAATAGGAGTTAGTGAAAATTTAATTCAATTAAGTGAAGCTTCTTATTTTATTCTATAAATAGAACCCTTTTGTAAGCATGAAATCAATATTCTTTGTGAAAGTTTTTATTTTGTTATTAGATTAGAACTTTATAATGTTAATTCTATTAACAGGTTTAGATTTTTTTTTTCTATACCTATTTCAAGACGATTCATTCATATTTCAAAATTTTATCATCAATTTTGTTAAAATATTTATTAATATAAAAAAAAACATGTGTATCAAAATTTTATCCAATATGACTTTATTGCAATATTTAATAATGTTTTTTATATTTCTTAATCAATGTACTTAGAATACTATTAACAAAATCCAGAATAAAGCGCAATTTCCACGTTTTTAGGATAATTTATTAAATATGCAAGAAAGATGAGCAGCACGAAGTCGTGGCCCAATTGGCAGACTCACACCATTTGTTTGGTAATGGAGATAAATAGTTACTTGTTGCGAAAGTTCAAATATCGTGGTGGTATTAGTTGCGACAATATTTAAAAAAAAAATAAAACATTAATTATAAGGCACTAATCGAATTTCATTACCTAAAGAAGAGAATTATGGTGTGGTTGGTACCAATAACATGCTATTGCTAGTCAAAGGAGGAGGGTTGTAGTAACTAGTAACTACGATTGGGATATATTACTTTGGGAAGCTGCAATTACTTTGCTTGGAATAATCTTTTACTTTTGAAGTTTTGTTAAGGCAGTGGTTAAAATATCAAAATGTTATTTTTTATTATTAAAAATTATATTAAAATAATTTAATACATCATTTAATCATTAATTTTCAAGATTTTCAATTAAATTCCTAAACTAAAAAAAAGTATAATCAAGTGCTCCTTCATATTTTTTATTTTATTTTATTATTATTTTATTTATTTTTATTATATATATATATATACACTTATAATTAAATCTCTAGAATTATAATTTTATTTACGATCTATAAAATTTTATAATTTTTTTAATATAGACACAAAATAATAATATATTATAACTATTCATATATGTAAATATTAAAAAAAATGTGAATAAATTTTTATTATAATTTTTTAACTTAAAAACTTAATTAAAAATCAAAAGAAAATTCTGAGATCAAATAATGCAGAGTAATAAATTACGCTCCATCTTTTATGTTTTTTCGATATTGAATTCGATATTATTATGTTTTTGGACATATAGTCTCAAAAGTTGAAAATGTGTTATACTATCACCTCATTCACAAAGAGTCTCAAGTCTATTATCATATTTGTATTATTAAAAATATCATATTTGTTTCTCAATTTTTTTTATATATTTTTTTTATCGTTATTAATTTAGTCTTGTATTCATTTTTATTTGATTTTTTAATAAAAAATTATTAAAATAAGTTTAACTAATAATATTAATATCAAAATATAAAATAATAACAATAAAGTTTTTTCATCAATTCAAATATACTAAAAATAATAAAATAAACAATATTATTATTATTATAAAATATATACTTATTTTAGTAATTATATATATATAAATACTTTTCATTAATATTATTTAAACAACTTTCATTTCAATAAAATACTTTTAAAATAAAAATATCTAAATATAAATCAAATTATATTAAACTTACTTTTAACTAAACTTAAATTTATAAAATTAACTTTAACTAAACTTAACTTTTTCAACTTAAATTCAACGCCACACGTATTTATACGGGAAACCAAACATATGTTTACAAGAATTCCGAAATATTACTTCGGTGCTAAGAAAATATGACTGTTTGACAAGACACACATTTATACTCCTTTAGTTACAATCTTTTTTTCACTTTGATTGTGATTTTATAATATTAATAAAATATTAATTTATATCCTTTATTATTATTTTTAAATTAAAATAATTATAAATAAGATAAATAAAATTAATATTAAGGAAAAAATATTATTATAAAATAAAAATAATAATTTATCTCTTAGTTCTAATAATAAAATTTTAAATATCAAATAAAATGAGATTAAAACATATTTTAAATAATTTTTTTAATAATTTATTATTTATTATCGGTAAACTTGACACATGTTCACCACTCAATTTTATGAAGTGTGACAATTTACGCAATGAGAACCGTTTATTAGTAGAAACACCTAATCATGGGGTACGATTTAAAAGGGTATCGGTGGAGAAAAGATTTCAAATAAATTTTAGCCACACTCAATTTAATACTATCTTTCTAATATTTTTTTTACTATATTTTAAATTCATAAATTTTATAACTAAATTATGATACAAATTCTTTAAATAAGATATAAAAATCATTAAATTTATAATTTTAATAAGTTTAATTAATAATAAAAAAATATTAGTAATTAAATATTAGAGAAAGTATTTTTTATCACTAAAATAAATATAAGTTAATAATAAAAAACTGTTAATAACTGAATATAATAAGATAAGATTCTATAGTCTGCTTTAAGATTCACTGAACAAACAGGTGGGTGATAACTGATAAGGGGTGCAGCTATAATTTCTCATCACATGTTTTGTAGGATAAAAATCTGTGTTGTACGTGTTCTAGATATCCGTACGAGCATATGTTTATGAATTTTATAAATATCATACATGTCTATAATATTTGTAAAACATATAAAATTCAAAATCAGAAATAAAAAATAAATCATATTGAAACATATATTTATAATAATAATAAATAATTTTAAAATATATATACTAATATTTTAGTATGTGTATTTTATAGACTAAAACTTTATTATATACAATTAAAATTTATAATAAATTATATATAAATAAATATTTTATTTGAATATATAAATTATATTTAGAATTTATATAAATTTATATTAAATATATAAATTATATTTGAGAATTTAGGTTCAATCTTCATCGCGATCATCTTTGTAATCTTTCCTATCTTTATAAAAAAAAATTTTTTTAAAAGTGTTTTAGTCGAATAATTTCTAAAAGTACATCCAAAGATAATTGTTTGTTATTAATATGTAGAGATTAATTATCATAATTTTGAAATGTTTATTACACTAAAAATAAAATAAAATAAAATAATTTATTTTATATAATTAAAATATTTATATAATTTAAACTCAAAATATTTATAAAAGTAATTTTTTCCATGTGGTTAATATATTTGACATTTCATATATTATTTAATAATTAAATAACATATATAGTTAGTTATAAGTAAATACATAAAAATAAAATTGAAGAAGTAATGGGTGAAAAATGAGAAATTTGATTCCTTAATAAGATAGAAAAATTGGTTAGATGGAAGATGGAAAGAGGTAAGAGGAAGAAGCAGATGATGGTACTGGTACAGTGGTACGTGGGTTGGGAAGGAGCGGCCTTAACCTAACGCACGCAGTGGTCCAAACAAAGGCCTCTCTCTTTCAATAATTGTCCTTTCTCTCTATCTTTCATATCATTCAGTATTCACAGCCACATCTCTTCCTTCATCTCTTATCTATAAAACTAAAACAAAGGCCTCTTCTCTTCTCCTCACATCACATACAGTGTGGCCTTTGCATGTTGCTGGGTGATGAGCATTACTTAGTAAGCCAAACCAAAGGAAAGAAAGTGTGGGTTGATTCCCAGGGTTGAGGCGTTGCAGACATCACGGCTTTTCTCAGAGTGTATCGCTCTCTCATTCATGTCCGAACTGTACGACGGACGGGTTGCGTAACGGAGACCAACCCTTCGCCGCACGGTGGGCGTGGTGCTTTGCCTTCCGAAGGTGGTAGCCCCTCCGACCTCCTCTTCCTCGCCGGCGGCGGTGCCTCCTTCTCCTCCTAGTTCCCTCGCCTTTCTCTTACTTAAAAATCACTTTTTTACTTAACTTCCAAAAAAAAAGCACCCTTTCTCTTCCTCCTCCTCCTCCTACTCCTTCTTCTACTTCTTCTTCTTTCTCTTCCTGATACTGTAGTTCACAAAATGATGCTCAAAATCAAAAGGGTTCCCACTGTCGTTTCCAACTACCAAAAGGACGAGGCTGCAGAGCCAGCTCGTCCCGTCGGAGGTTGTGGTCGGAAGTGTCTCAAAGCTTGTTGCATTCCAGGTATTTTTCCAACTCACTTTCCTTAATATTCTATCACTTTGGTTTTATATCATGGATTTTGCTCTTCATCTCAGTTATTGATGATATTTCAAGTTTCAACACCCATACAATTTGTTATGCGTGCATGTAATATTCAAAGTTGGGGTTTTTATTTTTATAACAAACTTTACCCTTAAAGTTGTTTTTTTTTTCCTTTCTTTTTTTGTGATTTGTGTTTTTGTTTTTTTAACAGATGCAAAGCTGCCTTTGTATGCCTTTAAGAAGGTTAATGGAAAGGATTTGGCTGTGAATGAATGCGGGGAGCCACCCCTGGCCTTTCTGGACTCGCTCATTCTTGGAGAGGTAACTAAGGAATTTTGGTGATGGAAAACGGTTAACACCATCTTTTCTGGTTAACTTTTGTGTTAAAGGTTCGTTCTTTACGGTTTCATGGCAGTGGGAAGATCGCATGCAGAGAGGACTTTTTCGCTATGATGTCACTGCCTGTGAAACCAAGGTCTATTTGGTTTCTTTTCCCCTTTTTTTTTTTTTTTTTTTTTTTTTTTTTTTTTTTTTAT